AGTGTAGGAGTAGATTTATCCCTTATAAACAATGATTCAAGGTTATATTAATCACTGGATTTTGGGGTATTTTAGCAAATAATTTTATTTTATAGTGGAGGAAATAAAAAGTTGCTCCCCGGGTTCATTTTACTGTGTCAAGCAGAATAGTTCATTGGTGACGAAATAAAGAATGCACTTAGATTTGAGATGAGTGGACTTTTCAAGTAAGTTGTCTTGAAGGCTATAGATTCTGATTCAAATATGCTCTAGAATAGCAACCTGAAGAGCCTGCCGTATATATGTTATCAAGATTATATTAATACTCCGACAATTGATATTGATTCTTGGAACTGCACTTTAGTGGAGATATAATTATGTATGCATGTGCAGAGCCCCTCCACTGCTTGTCTGTCTCCCCCCTTCCTCCTTCTGTTACTTCAAGAAGTATAGTCAACTAGTTGTTACATTACGTTTGGGTTGCTGTCCTAGCCTTTCTGCAACCTTCTTTATTGTTAATCTTCCCAGGGTTGTTCTTTTTCTTCCCATTCACCTGTTTTATTTGTATTGGTCAGGATGGAATCAGTTTGACTGAGAGCATGCATAATGTGGAGTATGTAATAGGAATCTCAACTCAAATCTTGATTAGTCTAATTCTACTTTCATTCTTTATCTTAATCTTCTTTTCCTCTCCTGCCCGATCTCTTACCCTGGATTCTCCCATTTTTTATTAGGGAATTCTCAATAACTAGTATCACCGGATGTTACAGGAGGGTTTTTCAGAAGCCTATTAACTTTGAATGGTATTTACCTAAATCAACCCTCCACATTGCGTAGAGTCTTACTTTTAACTCGTTTTTTGTTTTTGCATGTAGTTCACTTATTGACTTATGTCTTTGATGTCTGCAATTGCAGGGAATTACTTACATATACTGACAATAATACACAATTGGTAGAGACGGATTTAGACAAAATTAACAAGTCTAAACCTATGAACACTGTCAAACCAATGGGTGCAGTAAATGAGAAAAAGGAAGAAGCCTTTGATGGCATCAGAGAATTAGAGAGCTCCAATGACGGTGCAAAGGTTGAGAATTATAATGAGATTGCAGGTGAGGAAGTAAAATTATCACATGACGAGTCTCTTGGTGGCTCCGACTCTCAAGATCCCCATATTGCTCTCAAATTGAGCTTTACTCTTCCTGCTTCATGTTATGCAACAATGGCCATAAGGGAGCTGCTGAAGACTTCAACCTCTGTAAGCACCCAATTTGAAAAGTCGTGTCTATTTCTACTAGTGCTCAACTTAAACATTTAATGTTTTGCAGGTTGCATATCACAAGACACTAAACCAGTAATAAGCACGCAGCTACCCATTTAGCAATGTTTTCTGCAGGAGTGATTTATAGAACAGAGAGAAAACTGCAAAGAGAAGTTTCAGATCGTATGCTACTAATTTTATGTTTTAATAATCGTATATTGTCAGAAGAGAGCAAAATCCGCTTGGGTACTCTTTGTATATTCTTTGTATATTGTCGGAGAACTGTGAAATTTAACGCTACTAAATAGTTCTACATTTTCAAATGCTATTAATTTCGTTATTGTACTGGATGATTTCCATGTGTTGGATTTTAGTACCTTGTGCGCAGTTCTTTTTTCAATTCTAGCAATAACATACCACCTCTTTGCTTCCTGTTTATTTTTAGCTGCAACGTCTCATTCTTATGCTTTCCTAGACACATGATCCATGTGATAAGTTTGGCGGAAGTTTAGGGTAATGAATATTTTGGAAATTGAACATCTGCTCTCCTTGTTAGTAGTCGATTTGGTGTCTTATACTTGTGAAGTGAAAGCATGCAGCTGTAGGTTTAGTTCTACTCAAACCAAATTGATCTTCTTGGTTGACGTCTGTCTTGTTCAAGTTGTACATTTGTGTGCACTGTCTCCTAAGTTGGGATACTTTTTTTATTTTTTAATATACTGTAATTTGACATTTTTAAAAATAAAAAATAAACTGAGATTGATGTAAGTTTTAACACTGTTTTTATAAACATATAATTTTCTTGATAAAAAATTCTTTTTTTTTTTAAATAATCTTATTTTCAAACATATTTTAAGGAGTGGGCAATAGTGTCAGGGGTCATGTTATTTTCTCTTTCATTTTATCTACTAGTATTATTACTGCTATTAATAACAACAATAACAATAATAATAATAATAATAATAATAATAATAATAATAATAATAATAATAATAATAGATTACCCTCCAAACTACCTATTATTTTACTATTTTTTTTAATCTATATCTATATCAATATATAAAGGAGATATTTTTTTTAATAACTATCTTGATTTCTATATTTTTGTTGACCATTATATTCTTTTATTTTAAAAAATAATTTTTTTTATTAAATTCAATACTTTAAAATTAATAGGTTAATCATAACATTAGTTACACTAACATATTTTTATTACTTAATTTTTATTTTATTTTTATTAGATGTATAAAGTGTCTTGATTTTACTAGTTATATATAATTACAATAAAAAGAATATCCACACTTGGATGCTAATAAGAGGAAAAAATATTTGACCTAAAATGAAAGAGGATTCCTATTAATGATATTGTGTGGTACTTAAAAGATTTCTTATGACTTCAATACCTAAGTTTTTTTAGTTTTTTTTTATCTCAAAATTAATGTCTTTATGTATGTAATTTAAATTCACATTTGTTGAAGTTTGATGTAATCTGACATATTTTCATGTATATATTCTAAGTTATTAATCTTAATTATTAATTAGTATTATTGTTCTCTTCGTTACTTAATGTTTTTCTTAACTTAATTTTATGGATTTAAAATGATAAAAAAAATGTTTGTAAACTTTTCAATTAAAGTAGAGCAACTAATGTTGTTTGTCTCTAAAAATGAAGTAAATGCTATTGATCATTTTCAAACACTTATTAGTAAAGTTACATTATTCAAAGAATTAGTAATTTGGTAAAAAAAAACCTTTTACTTATAAAAAATTACGGTTTGAGTAAAATTTCTTGTTAAATAATAATTTATAAACTTATAACTAGATCAAAACTTGGTTGGAAGCATAAAATTATGGTTTGATGAAGTCAAATTCTAATATATTTTATTATTATGTTAAAATTAGTTGTTGTGTCTCAAGTATTTATTAAAATACTAAAAATATTATTATTAAATTTATCTATTTTAACATTTTACTATTATTCAAGTTAATTATTTTAATAATCAATTGAGATTTCGATTTCAAATAATTTAATTTAGTATAATTATTAATTAGTCATTTAAGTCAAATATTGCATAAGTTTATTGAAAGACATACTTAAATTCATATTTGTAGTACAAATTGATACATTGTAAAGAAGAAGAGATAAAGCCCTAAAAATATTACTTTCTAGCTAAACTCGCTATTCTTAACTTCCGATATATCAAATATCAGTTTCACAACTCTTGGGAGGACCCAACATCAATCGGAAATTTGCGGTTCAAGTAGGAAAGGAAGAAACCCATCAGAATACAAAGCAATGAGAAAATACCAATGAATAAAGTAGGTGACATGAATAAGTACTTTCTTCCACCTAACTAAAGCAGTGCAGACAGAAACACGGCACAAAATAATAATAAATTGGATGAACTTTGTTGAATAAAGCACCATAATGAAAGGGGTGCATTCAGTATTAATTGGTACAGTGAGTTGAAGCGGCTGCAATATGTTAAGATATAAAGTAGGCAATATCAGCTATAGTCTGCAATATGTAAAGATGTAGAATAGGCAATATAAGACGCTTGTATAGTTCTATTTTTATATGTAGAATATAATTTTTAATATGTTAATCAATTGAAATCTATACAAATAAGAATTCTTAGATAGTTTTTGATAGATAAATTAAAACTAAACAAAACAAAATGAGTTTTGTTTCACGTTGTTGCATATTACAAATAGAACATAACAAGTCATAAATCCAAAAAAATAAAATAAAAATGAAATATATTTTGGTTACACTAGAAAAGATAGAACAAAGCTGTCAATATCTGAGTCTTAACCTCTGCAGAATCATTTTCAATGGTGTAATTTTTCTTTGTTCCATTTTCAATGAATCAAAGACTAAATCTGAAAAGAAAAACACAAAAATGAACAAACTTGTATGCTAAATTGAATCACCACACCCCTGTACAATCCGGAATTTCCAAGTTCAGACCAGGTGCTTGCATCATCAACATAACTGAGCTAAAGCATGTAGCTGTTCAGACCGGCCAAGTGCAATGTTGCTGCCACCTGTCCTTTGCATGAATAGTCGTGCAAACTAAGATATTATTTTTTATTACACATTTACCTTTCAAAGTAATTTAAATCCCAACATTCTTTAAATTTCGAATTGCCTTTACATCTAACTTGTACATTTACAAACTTTCTATTTCAAGTTTATGCATTTTCTTTTGAATTTTCTTTTAACTTAATCCGAATTGCTTTGCCTCCAAACTCGGCACCTTATGGTCGTTGGTAAAGTTTTGAATATTTGTTCAGAGTCATAAAGTTAAGATTATACTTCAATTTGATTTTAACAAATCGAATTTTGAGACTTGTACATCAAGATCTTAATCAGAGTATTAAAATAAGATTTTCACTCAACTTAATATTTTTCAATTAAAAGTTAAGCAGGTTTGGTGAAAAACACACGCACAAGTGAAAATCTCATAAACATTATATTTGTTAGAATCAAAAGTGAAAAATCATATCAAGACTTTGAATCTATAATTCAAATAAAAACTCCAGGAGATCGAAATAATTCCCACCAATGAAAACATACACTGGTGATAATAAATTATAAGTTTTAACCAAAGCATCAAGAATAAAACTCAACAAAAGCTAGCAAACCCTTTTACAACATCCACAAAACCGGAAACAATAAGCAATGCCCTTTTAACTGAGCCACCAAAGCACTACAGAACTTGAGAAACAAACTCACGTGTAAGGAAAGCAGCAACAGGTGATCAATCACACGAGCAATTCTGACAACACAACACTTCCCTTACTCGGGGCCAGTTAACACAAAATTCATCCACCATTCACCAATTCGATCACCTACCAAATGAAGGCAATAGAATGTTGATAAAATTAATTTTAAACTATTAAATGTAGTAGAGATTGATCTGTGTTTAAATTAATTAATTTCAGACACAAATTCATATTAAAATGTGTATTTTTTCATTAAAAATAGAAAACTTAAAAATCCAGACTAAATTCTTAACTAGTCTAATATTAATGGCTTAAGCTTATTATACAGCGAGCTAGTAATTTATTTACAACCGTGTACACGAACTATACAAGACTGAATTAATTCTTAAACCAATGGCTTAGGGTAATTGCGAGAAGGTAGTAAATTTACAAGTTGTACATAAACTATTTAATATATAGTGACAACACACGAATTGCATATAGTGCAATGTTTATGTAAGGAGCTAGAGAGGTCCCACATTGTCTTATATGAGGCTCTTAGGCCCCACTCTTCCATGGGCAGACACTGTCTCAAACAGTTCTGTTCATGTTTCATTAATTTTATTTTCTGTGTATTTAATTTAACTCAGATAATGCTATATATATTTACACACATTATGTAAATTAACATTATTTTCCCTGCATGATAAAGAAAAACCATGCAAAACAAAGAGCTTGAATAAGATTAAGCATAAGGTCTTATATATCCCATGGCCATGCCATGTGCTCTGTGTTCTGTGACTGTATCTGTATGCAAGCTTGCACGTGCTGGCTGCTGTTCCAGTACGACAGCATTGTGTGCCTTTGTACCAAGTGAAGATTCCCATCCTTAAAGCATTGGTCCCACTCTCTGCTCCTTTTCACGTGTCCTGCCATCCCTATGCCGTTAATTACACCCTCACTCTCCTCGCGCGTCTATATCAACCCCATTATCCCATAACCAATTACTTTGCTCACAACTATAATATTATTATTATTATTCTTTTCTAGTGTTTAATTAGGATGAGTTTGGATTTTGTTTGAAAAGAGAAAAAGGGTTGGACAAGTTTGAAATGAATTGAATATGCCTTGAACAGCAACGTGGTTGGATTGACTTGTCCAAGGTCACACAATATTTTATTAGGGTGTGGCCGGTGAGTTCACTTTATCCTAAAAGGGTGTCGGGGGGCTATCTTTTCCTTTTCATGCAAGGACAATCTCCTTGATGAACACAAGAGAGAAGTTAGCGTTTTCAAAACTTTCTTGTAGCATTCTCCTGTGAGCAACCACCAAGAAGAAAGGAGATAGCAATAGCAATACTCCAACACAAACACAAACATGTTCGATGGAGAAACAGACCAGTTCCACCAATTCATAGCACCAAGGACCACTCTTCCTCTTAACTTGTCTTTCCCTCTCCATTCCTCTTCAACCCCAAATACCTTCCTACCCTTTGATCTCTATAACCCTCACTTTCCTCTCCAAACCAATCTCTTGCACCACCCTTCTCCTTCTCCTTCTCCTTCTCCTTCTCCCTCCCACAAACACAAGCAACCAAATGTCAACGTTCAAACACAATTGCCAGACCTAACCGATTCCTGGACCAACGATGAAGTCCTTGCACTTTTCAGAATCAGATCTACCATGGAAAATTGGTTCCCAGACCTCACATGGGACCATGTCTCAAGGTACTACTCCATGCTTTCAATTAACTCATTCCTTTCTACAAGTCAGTGTTAACTAAGTGCAAGTTTGGTTTCACATTTATAATCCATGTTGGAATTTGAATCTAATGCAAAAGTAAATGATTGTTGTTGCTTTACTGATCTACGTCCAGCCAACTAAAATTGATGAGAATTTAAACATGCTCTGAATTGAGACCGGAAGAATGAAAAATTAATGACCTAGCTGGACTCTATTCGATTAATCATGTTATATGTGACCTTTATGTGGTGGAACAATTAACGCACACGTGCACCAACGCGCTATATAGTAGGTACTATTACTACTACTACTTTAGCTACCACGCTGACACAGCAAGACACAAACCCCGACAGAAGGGTTCATGGCTGAGACTTCTGGGGGAGGAAGAAGTTGAAGGAGGGCATTAGTTTGAAGTGTTGGGGACAGTACGTGTACGTAGTTAAGTGATATGTGCAAATTAAAAAAAAAAAAAATGCTTATGAGGTTGGTTTTGGATTTTTTGTATTTATGATGTGTGCAGGAAGCTAGCAGAGCTTGGCTTTAAGAAGAGTGCTGAGAAGTGCAAGGAGAAGTTCGAAGATGAGAGTAGATACTTCGACAACATTAACCTCGGCAAGAACAACTACCGGTTTCTCAGCGAGCTTGAGGAGCTTTGTCAAAACTCTGATCCTGGTGGTTGTGGTGGGGACAGCCACCACCACGCATTGAAGGAAAATTCGAGAGACATTGAGACCAAACAATGTGATGATGAGGTGGTGGTGGAAAAGTCAAAGGAGCGCAAGAGGAAGCGGCGTGATAGGTTCGAAATGTTCAAGGGTTTCTGCGAGAGTGTTGTGAACAAGATGATGGCTCAGCAAGAAGAGATACACAACAAGCTCCTCCACGACATGATGAAGAGGGACCAAGAGAAGTTCGCCAGAGAAGAAGCGTGGAAGAAGAAAGAGATGGAAAGAATGAACAAGGAGCTTGAGATCATGGCGCAAGAGCAAGCCATTGCTGGTGATAGACATGCCACCATCATTGAATTCTTGAAGAAGTGCGCAACTACTACAAATCTTCCAAACTGTTCTTCTTCTTCACCTTCCCAATTGCACCCGCAAAACCCTAATAATAACCCTTCCAATGAGGGCAACAATCTTGATCCAAATCATGATGATCAAGCTACATGGGAAGCAGAAAACCCTAGCACAAATGACACATTAGTACTACAAGTTCCTTCTTCCTCCAATTCTTCCCCAGCCCCCCACAACAACCCTAGTTCTTCTTCCCTGAATAGCCACAATAGTATTATTCCATTAGAGTCAAATTCAGTTTCCACATATAAGAGCACTTTGGCCACAAGTGAGAGTTGGAAAGAGGATGTTGGGAGGAGATGGCCAAGAGATGAAGTGTTAGCACTGATAAACCTGAGGTGCACAAGTGTAAGTAACAGCAACAATGAAGAGAAGGAGGGGAACAAGGGTCCTCTGTGGGAGAGAATCTCGCAAGGGATGTTGGAGCTTGGATACAAGAGGAGTGCAAAGAGGTGCAAGGAGAAGTGGGAGAACATAAACAAGTACTTCAGAAAAACCAAGGATGTTAACAAGAAAAGGTCCCTTAATTCTAGGACTTGTCCCTATTTTCATCAACTCAGTTGTTTGTATGGCATTGGTCAGGGAAAAATTGTGCCACAGTCCGAAAGGGAAGGGTTTGATTCTAATCCAACCGCGAATTCCTGTGAAGTGCCACCGGAAGCTGATGAGTCTCCTCAAGTGGGGTCTGCTGGTTTGGTGCAGTATGCATGTTGATCATGCAGGTGAGAAAATTCATCAAACTTTTAAGAAACTGAGTAATACCTACTCCTTCATTTGGATTGTGATTAGGTTAAAATTCATTAGTTTGCCCATTTTCTATGGCGTAATAAGCTCCACTATTTTCCCTTTTTTTTTTGTTTTTGGTGGTGGGAGGACTTTTTTTTTTTTTTTTAATCTATATATATAGCATAAATTTATCGAAAGATTTTGGTGAGCACCGAAAGCTTGAGGAATTAGAACAATGTTTGTGTTCTGTGTATGACTTTATAATTATTGCCATTTCAATTTTACATTTTTTTTCTTTCATGTGATTGATGTTTCATACATATAGGCTAATGTCCATTAATTGGGAACACACTGTCCCAGGAAAAAGAGAGCGGTGGATGAGACATTCTTCGGGAATAATAATTTTGGTACACCAAATTTTAATAAAATATTAATTATATTTTTCGTTTTTGTAATGTATAATCTACTGGGATGGGAATATCAATATATTCTAATTGAGAATTGATATATCCTCATAATGAAATAAGTCGAATCATCCTCTGATAAAAGTTTTTAAAACTTAAAATTAATTAATTTATAATCAAATGTAATGGCAGGTGTAAATCTTTAAATGGATTTACTATTTTTCCGACTCAAGTTTTTGAAGGAACTAGAATTTCTCATTCTAATTTTATAAATTAGAATTATAATATACAACACTCTCATTTTTCATTCTTCTTATTTTTCTCATTTGATAATTTTTTAATGTATATTTCACATACTACTCAATAATTAATTACAATATTTTTTATATTTTTAATCTATCCTCTTTTATTTTTATCTCTAAATTATAATATATATATATATATATATATATATTAATAGTTAAAAATAATTTAAAATCAAAATTTAGCAGATCATCAGGTTCAATCATCTTTCAGGATCACCCCATCTCCAAAATAACCATCCTTTTAATGTATATACAAGAGCACCACCGTAAAGAGAGTCATCTTCGTACATTTGTACTAAGAACTCGTATACTGGGAAAACTATAAAATCTGAAAAGTTTGTAGAACATGAAGTATCAAATTTCAAAACTTAGAAAGAAAATAAAATCTAATTAATTAGGACAAAATAAAAATACAATAATATAAAAAAAAAATGTTGTATCTAATAAAGAAAGTATATATCTTCAATTTAATAAAGTATATTAAGATTTAAAATTTAAATCAATTTAAGAATAACATTTGGAAGGAATAAACACTTTAAATAAAAATTAAAATTATTAAAAAGAATGATCTTAAAAATGTTTTTATTTAATTAATATTTATTTATTATACATTTTATTAGTAAAATCAAATTATATAATTATATAATTATTTAATTTTAGAAACGTGATTGATTAACCTCAAATCAAACTTTTATAATTATATCACTTAATAACTTCTTTTTCGAATTTAAAATAAGTATATCTAACAATTAAATTGAAAGTTGTGATATAATAAATTAAGTTTATAAAATTTTATGTAGATAAAAAAATAATTGTTATTTTATCCCGTTGTTTTATTTTAATAGATAATATATAATTTAAAATGTATATAAGTAGACATCTTTAGTCAGATAACATACCAACAAATAATTAAATTATGTAAATTTTGATATGCATAATTAAAAAGATAATAATAAAATAATTAATAGCAAAATTGATTAATTCTACATTAATTTTATAAAAAATTATCGAGTGATATAAGTTTAAAACTTTGATACATGTTGTGATTTGATATGCTTCTTGATTTTATGTATTATCTATAAAAATAAATCAAATATATATATATGAAACGAAATTCATAGGGTTATGTTTTATCATTTCAAAATCCTGCCTACCGAATGTTACGAAAGATAACTAATATTAATGACCTAAGTGATAATAATTTATGTTTTTTAATTAAGTATAGAGTTTAAATTTTAATTTTAGATATATAATAAACTATACTTAAAAGAGATTATTCATATTTTCGTACCAATATCATACTAAAAAAAAATTAAGGAAAATGGTACCGTAGATTTTGATTTATGAATATTGTGAATGATTTTTAGCGCCAAAGTCATTTTTAAAGTTTCCAAATAGTTCTTTGCAATAGGACAATTCAATGTGTATGTCCATCCTACCTGTCCTAATAAGAGCAGGATGAAGCCTGTCCCTAAAGTTGGTTGTGAAAATAATAATCCTCTCTCCCCCACACATGCTTACCAAATACCATCCATACTATTCAACAACCTCTTGCTACTCTCCCCTTCATCCTTTTTAATTGCGATAATTGTGATGCTCAATAACTATGAAAGGGATACACTAGGGGGTTATGGAACAAGTTAGGAAGAGCGATAATCCATCACAGAAGATATAGGGTTTACTATAATAATTAAATGGATCCAACACTGACACCTATAAGAAAACTGTGATTTAGAGTTAATAAACCAAGACTAACTCTATCATGTAAATAGAGTCTTCTTTACAATAAGCACACATCCGAATTAAACATATTCAACATTAGTGTGGTTATGTCGACTTTTTTTTACACTCACTAGATAAAGTTTGTCTAATCGACATAGACTTAATTAGTAGTGTACTATGATTCTATGAACCCCTTATGAAACTCATGAAAGTCGTTCATCACAGTCTTTGTCTAACTTTTAAGAATTTTTTTCCAATTTTAACTTGCTGCAAATAAATGTTTGGTAATTAATTATTTAAAAAAATATCAAAATGTCATGTAAATATTTTATAAATAATTTTAAAAAAATATCATTATGTATAAATGATTAAATTATATTTTTTATACCACTAGCTATATTTTAAGTCTTTTTTATCTTATTTTTAACATTTATTTTGATCTTTTATCATTTAAAATATTTATTTTGTCTTTTATTTTTTAGGGTTTTGAATTATGTTTTGATTGATTGAAAATTTAAAATTTATTTTATTATATTTATTAGATAAAAAGTGAAAATAAATATTTAAGATATCAGAATCAAAATAAGTAATTTAAAAAATGAAAATTTAAATGAATTTTAAAAATAAAGAAAAAAGTATAATTTATTCGATATAAATCGATATCAATTTATTGACATAAAAAGTAGTAACTAATTTCTCTTATAATTTATTAATATTACTTCCCTTAAAAAAAGAAGAAAAATATTAGTTAATAATGCAAGAAGATACTTTTTGTTAACAAACGATAATGGTTATGTAACAACCTGTCATGATTTCTACACTTAGAAAAATCGTACTAGCTACGTAGAAAGACTAAGAAAAGATATTAAAATTGAATAATTCATATATACAAGTAATTAAAAATATAATAATAATAATAATAATAATGTTTCTATGAACAAAATATAACACCTAATATGTACAGTCATTCCAATAGATAATATCCTCCTAGTGTCGGTCAATCACATACAAAAAAGCTACCCAAGTGGTAACTTTAACAACATAGGCAAAATTCCTCGTCTCGCAGCGGACATGACAACCATCTCCAACCTAACCCTGATCTGCTCTCATACACAGTATGATCATTGTAGTCCACCCACATGGAAACAGAAGGGTAAGCTAGAGATCAATAAACAACCATACAAGTATAGAACAATAATCTATACTACTCATTCATCCCAATCATCATCACAACACATCATCACAGTTTATCATAATAGTTCAACTATCATTTCATTCATACAACTTTATAGGCAATTTAAATGCAACAACACATGCAACATCAACTAATGTGTCGTCACGCATATACAACTAGGAGATCTCCAACGGTTGAGGTTGAGTAGTTTAGGTGGCATAAACCCTACCGAATCCAACGTTTGACCTATCTTAACCAAGTCAGGTATAGGGCATCGTTATGAACTCCGAAGAGAACCAGGTATAGACAATAATAGGCGATTACTCAAGTGTGCCACTTAGACTCAGAGGTCCAACACTATTGTCAGGACAGAAGGGTTTGGGTATGGGCCTACCGTGGCCTTGACTTGCATCACCAATCCACATATATGGAATTAGCCCACCTACTGCCCTCTAAGTACCACGCACCCTCCGGTACCTAGTCAAAGACTATATCTTTAACTAGATACCTTACTCAAATTGGTCATTCAATCATGACATGGATTGACTATTTCCATATCACCCACACTGTACTAAGGGGTTCAACTTTTGAAACAACTTTCAACTTATCGTTTTAGTACGATGTATCTCAACATAGGACATATATCTTCACCATATATCCCCAACTTTACAACTTTTACAACAATATGTATTTTAACAACTTTACAACAATAATCATCTTTACAACAATAAGCAACATAATAGCATCTTGAGTAAACAATTTAAACAACTATAGTCATCAAAATCTCAACTTCAACAACTTTAGAGCAACTTACCACTTTATAACAATAGACTACTTCAACTTACACATATTTCATCAATAGCAACATATAAACGACTTAGATCAACACCTACTCAACTCATCTTTATCAAACAACTTAACAACTTAACCAAATCATTCAGCATACCCACGCTCGGCACAGCCATCTCGTGCCCGACGTGATATCCAACCCGAGAGTTCTAAGGCTTCTCCACGCTTGGCGCATCAACCCTGCACCCGACGCCCTCAAGTCAGAGACTCAAAAGAGTCTCCACGCCTGGCGCATCAACCTTGCGCCCGGCACGACGTTAGACAGAGACCTCCAAGGGTCTCCACGCTCGACACATCAACCCTGCGCCCAACACCACATCAGTAAATCACCTAACAAGGCTACCATTTGATATCGCGTCTGATGTGGTTCTCACACGCCCGGTGCGATTCATCCAGAGATTCCCATTTTAAATTGCGCCCCGCGCGACTAACCTCGCACCCGGCGTGATTTGATAGGTCCCTGATGAATGCAGACCCGGCGCCAAGAGCTGCGCCCGACACAAGTTCAAACAACAACCTCCCAACTTCAAAAGTTTCATCAAAAACCTGAAAATCAAAAGATTTCTACCACATGCAATCCAAGAAATGCAATTCATAAACTCCATACAACTCAAAAACAAACTCAATTTCAACATGTAACCATTCAAGCATCAAATTTATCAAAAACCCTCATTTTTTTCCAAAACCTCGAAAATGAGAAGTTTCTCCAATCCAACCATGGATT